AACAGCTCAACCTGGAGCTGTGCTGCCGTGAGTCGCTGGCAATGGCGTAGGCTGCAGTGGGTCTGCCATAAGCTATCGTGACTGGCTGGCAGTCAGCATGAGTAACCAGCAGCCGTTCATGAGAGGCCATCCAATGGCTAGTGAGTGACTGCCTCACCTGGGAAGAGCGCAACGATAATACCAACAAGGGCCAGTGAAGCAATGTCCTCCACAACTAGACTGAAGAACAAAAGGACAACAACTTGTCTGATCTCCTTCCCCGATTCCCCAACACTGTTCCTCACCCCCAGTTCCCCAATAAAATCTTTAAAAAAAAAATTCAGACCACATTCAAATCCTAACCTAGTTAGTTCCGGAATAATTAAAATACATACCTAGATTGTACCGAAGACCTGGATCTTTCCATCCATTTTTAGTCTTTATAAAACTCCTCTCTGAGTTTTCTGCTTGGCTGATAAAATATGAAGAACATTTTTCTTATTCTCTTGAGATGTCCCAGGAGAGCTTTTCTTCTTGGTTACAGGACCTTACATTTGATTGTGAGACTTTGCTATTTGCACAGTAAGCTCATGACATATAAGCATTTGGTTGGTTTATAAGCTTGTTAGAATGCTATTCTTATCCTTAATTGACTCCTCATGATAAAATACTTCGTTTCTTAATACTTTACAGTTTGACAAAGCATAATGTCTGTTCAGGTACAGTTTTATCAGAAGACATTCAGTCCAGGTTGACTATAATGGTTCCGTGATCAAAGGCCACAACTGCCTGGTTTACCTCTAGGGTTAAAGTTCATGGCTTTATCACCTTTTTTTTTTTCTCCTTCAAATGATAAGAAAGCTGTCTTTTTCTTTGGATCATTTTTTTTTCATGACCAAGAGGTCTTTGGGATTTCAGAAGCTTGGAGCATTTAGTTAATGATCATCCCATAGTGTTGATAATTACTAAGTTTCGGAAAATGTAGCCAATGTTTTAAGTATTTCTCAGTCAATTGTAGGAAATTGGATTCAGCAAAGAGGAACAGTTTGAAGGGTGTAAAAGATGGTTTTTCCAATCCTGCTTTGATTTGATTTTGCAAACAGATAATTACATCTTTTTTCAGAAATTACTTTCTAACATAGGTAAATGTATGCTCTCATTAATGAAAATGAGAGATAACATAGATTAATTAAAGTCATTAAAATTGTGAATTTTCTTACAAAATTAAAAGAAAAACACAAAATAAATTGATTTTTAATTTAGTTTTATTACATGGACTTTAGATGTGAACTGACCAAAAGCAATCACAGAAAACGAACAAAATGAAGAGACAAAAAGGTAATCCACCAATTATGTATAACCAGCCTCTGCTTTTATAAGAATATTTACTGCTTGGGTAATGTGGGAAATTTCTAGTGTTGGGTAAGAGTGGCAGACTTAACATGAATCATTATCAGGGTGATAAATAGTTCAGCTGGTCTTCGGCTCTAGTACAAAGTTCAGTGTTCTGCTCAAGAGCCCAAGGGGAGGGACTCTCAGCCAGCTCAATCCCGAAAGAAAGAAATATAATGAGAAAAGAAATGTGATATGAGCTCTTCTAGGCCCAGCTCTGTTGTTTTGCCTGATTCAAACTAGGTCATAAGGCCGTGTCTTGTTTATATCTTTTGTTTCTTACCAACTTCATCAATAAAAATGTAATTTCTTTCTATTGTAGACAAAAGTTAAATAAAAGTTATTAATAGAATGCAAACTACAGAATTTGCTAGAGAGGTAAACTATACATAGGAAAAACAAAAATAGATGTTTCAGTCATTAAACAACTGAGTTATGTGTACTGAACATGAGCACTAAGAAAAGTCAAAGGTCTTTGATCAAACAGCAATTTCTTTCCTGGGACTATCCCCTGGAAATAAAAGCACCAGTATATATGGTATGAAAGTACTAGGATATAAGTACAAAGAGATCTATTATAGCAGCAAAAAGCTGAAAACAATATGAATGCCCACCAGTAGGGAAATGGCTCAATGAGTTATATAATACATCACCCCAGAAATATTATGAAGACATCAAGCAGAATTAACAGAAGCTATGCCAGATGATTTAGTGGGAAGGATTGTCATGAGGTATTGTGTTAGAAACGCAAGATACAGAAAAGCGTGTATAGTATTTCCTTTTTGTAAAAACACTTGTGACCCAAAAAACCCTAGATGCAGGTGTATGGTACATGCGTGTATGATTTTCTGAGGGTTGAGAAAAATAGGAAAGGATACATATTAGAATACAAACATGGGCATGGTGCTGATGTGGATGGAGTAGGAGGGAAGGGGAGTGAGGAACCAAACAACAAAGGAAAAAGGGAAAAACGTTTAACTATTGAAAGAGTTCAGTATGATGTGATTACAGGTATATACAACTGTCGGTGTGTGTATAAGGAAATGAAATAGTTAACTCTAAAAGTCCAAGGAACAAGTCAACGTGATTTGTGCTAATCAGGAAAGCCTTTTAAATGAGAGTTGTCTAAAAACAAACATGTATTGAGCCTAAGATTTTGAAGTGGAATTCTTGGAGGGAGAAGAAATTTCAGAAAAGGGTCCCATTGTAAGCAAGGTAATAGGAAATGAACAGATTGGACTTACATAAGACATTAGAAAGAATTATTGGGTTGTCGGAAAAGTCATGACACATTTTTGCAACGAAAAACAGAAAAAATACGTCATGACTTTCCCGACAACGTGATAATTTCAGAATAATTGGGGAATGGTAAAAAAAAGTTGGCCAAGTCACTAATGATCACGTATTATGTGCCTGCATTTATATGAAATCTCTACAATGGACCAATCCATAGAAACAAAATAGATTTAGTGGTTACCAAGGGCTGGGGGTGATTGGGAGGAAATAGGAAGTGACTGCTAATCTGGCATGGGGTTTCTTTTGGGGGTGATGATATATTCTAAACTTGATTGTGGTGATGGTTGTACAATTCTGTGAATATACCAAAAAACATTTAATTGTACACTTTAAGTGGCTCGATTGTATTGTATGTAAATTATCTCAGTAAAGCTGTCCAGATAAATTGGAGTCACCTGGTAGAGAACATTAACATCCAAGCTTAAGAGTTTGAATTTGGGGGGCCGGCCGAGCACGAGCTCTGAGCAACAGGGTCGCTGGTTCAATTCCCACATGGGCCAGTGAGCTGCCAACAGGTGGCAGGATGGGTCAGCTGGTGAGAGCACGTGCTCCTAACAACAAGGTTGCTGGTTTGACTCCCGCATGGGATGGTGGGCTATGCCCACCTGCAACTAAGATTGAACACGGCACCTTGAGCTGAGCGGCCACGAGCTGCCGACAGGCGGCCAGATGATGAATGGACTTGGAGCTGAGCTAGCTGCACCCTCCACAACTAAGATTGAAGGACAACAACTTGGCTGTTCCCCTTCCCCAATTCCCCAATAAAGAAATCTTAAAAAAAAAAATTTGAATTTGATCTAATTGGCAACAAAGAGTCATTATAGGTTTATGAGTATGGGGTGGACTTTCCATGGTTTCCCTTGTTTAGCCTCTTTTTCTTTATTTGGGATTTTAATTATAAAATTGAAACTCATTGAAACAAAATTCAAATAATATAAAAAAGCATGTTAAATAGAACATTTCAGCCTTATCTCATTCCCCGTAGATTACCACTATAAAAGTTGTGATTCTTTTCAAATTCTTTTCTCCTTTTTTTAAACATAGTGAGGATCATAATATCTGCCTTGTTCTGTAACTTTCCTACAGCAGTGTTTCATGGCTGTCTTTCCATACTTGCATGAGACTGGCTACCACAGGAAATAATAATAGTAACCCACATTATAGAGTCATTATACAGATAAAATGAGTTGATACACATAAATAATAGTACCAGGCACATAGTAAGCATTCGATGTGTGTTACAGTTATTATTGCTCAGTGTAGGCTGAGGGATAGAGCTTTTGTGAGTGATTGTTATAGTCGTTCTTTCGCTTTGGAACATAAAGTGAAAGCTGGCGTATTTTCCATTTCAGAAGAGGAGCATTCATCCAGCCATCACTGGGCTAGCAGCCAGGCTAGGTACTAACGGTACTAATATAAAGAACCAGCACACAGCACTTCATAACAGAGGTTGTTCATCCAGCCTTTTGGGATGGGCTTAAGGGAATCTGAGCCTCTTGAAATTGTGTCAAAAGTTTGTATGTGCCTAAATAGAAGGAATCCATGAATTTCAAAAAGTTCTCTAGGGAGTCTGCAATTCTGAAAAACCACATGCTCTGTCAAGTTTGATTCTCACGACAGCCCCAAGAACTAGGTAATATTATTAGGGTTTTTGGAGGATAACAAAGCTGGCCCTGATCTGAAGACGATTATTTATACCCAGATCACTGTTAATACAAGGTAGAGAATGAAAAGCCCTATTAGAAAGTTATTATTGTGCGTTGGGAATTGAAATCAGGGAAAGCTTTTTGGCCTTAAACTCTATTATGTTAAAAACTATACATAACAAATATTTATCAAATGCCCACTATATTCCAGTTGTTATTCTAACTCCTGGGAATATAACGTTAAACAAACAGACAAAACTCTGTGTCCTCATGGAGCTTACATTCTTTTGGGAAAGTCATACACAGATAATGTGAGCCCTCTCCTTACCTTATATATTGAAACTTCAGGACAATTTTGATTATATGCTTAATAATGCCTTCCATATAATAATGCTCAATAAATATTTGATTGAATGAGTAAAAGAATGAACCAGAGACCCAGAAGAGATCTAAAGGGGTCATGATCCAGTTTTCAGGCAGAACCACAGTTAACTCTCTTTTCTTCCAAATTTCTCCAGTGGAATCGAAATTTTAAACCTGGGTTATCTCCATAATTCCCCATGTGCTATGATGAGATTTGGCTTAAATTGAAGAAATGAACTTGGGCATCTCCATCTAATATTACGCTACCTTAAGTACTTTGGAACTATGGAAATGCAAAGCGTCACTGTTGTTTATCATTTCTAGGGGAGGTGACTCCAGGACTATCCCAGGTGGAATATGCACTTCGCAGACACAAATTAATGTCTCTGATCCACAAGGAGGTGCAAGGGCAGAGCGGGACAGACCACACAGTCATTCTGCTGTCCAACCCTACATACTACATGAGCAACGATATCCCCTATACGTTCCACCAAGACAACAACTTCCTGTACCTGTGTGGATTCCAGGAGCCCGATAGCATTCTGGTCCTTCAAAGCCTCCCTGGCAAGCAGTTACCAGCACACAAAGCCATGCTTTTTGTGCCTCGGCGAGACCCCAGTCGAGAACTTTGGGATGGCCCGCGATCTGGCGCTGATGGAGCAATAGCCCTAACTGGAGTGGACGAAGCCTACGCACTGGAAGAATTTCAACATCTAGTACCCAAACTGAAAGGTAACAGATGGGAGCCGAAGTCAAATCATGGGCCAGATCAGGCTTGAGACGTTTTTTGCCTATTTAGACAAAGTTCTTAATTTCCTAAAATGATCATCCATAGCAGCGTTCTCCTTGAGCACCATGAAGGGAACATAAATCTTTTCCACAAGACTGGGCTACTTTAAAGACTTCATTTATTCATTTGCCAAATCTTATTAGATTATTCATTTACATAGACTGTAACTGTCCCAGTTTGAAATCCCAGAGAAAGAATTTCCTTCTAACGTGGAGGATGGGCATGGGCCTCTCTTCAAGATTATTGAGCAGTCTATTGACCTTCGACCACAGCTTCTTACTGCTTTTGCCAACTCTTCAAAAGGAGGCAATATTCTCAAAGAATGACCTGTGCTTCACCAGCATCAGAATTACCTGGTGATGCGTATTAGAATTACAAATACATAATAGATATTGGAAATATAAAATGTTAGGCCCACACTCCTTACCTACTAAATCTACATTTCAACAAGATTTTTAGGTGATTCGTATACATCGTTGAGTTCATACCCCTCAAAATAGGCACTTTCTTAACATTAATTCTGGTGAAATTATGATCACTCAGAATGTTTTGGGATACTTTCTTCTGGAACTTTTCAGAACCTACACTACAGTATAAACTATGCTCAGTGATTCTTGTAAATCTACAGCTCTGGAGGCATTTTATTTTATTTTTTTTAAGTGTTTTTTTTAATTTTTATTGGGGAATTGGGAGGAGGGGAACAGACAGGTAGACAAATTGCTGTTTTTGTTCTTCAGCCCAGTTTTGGAGGACGTCGCTTCACTGGCCCATGTTGGTATGATCATTGTGCTCTTCCTGGGTGAGGCAATCGGTCACCGGTCATTGGATGGCCGCTCACAGCGGCTGCCGGCTGCTCACACTGTCTGCCAGCCACTCATGTAGCTCACGGCAGCCCACTGCAGCCCCACTGCAGCCTACGCCATCGCCGGTGACTTTGTTCATCATCTTAGCTGTAGAGGGCGAGCGTCACTGGCTGTATATGTGGGATCCGAACCGCAGCCCTGCTGCTCAGAGCCAGCGTCCCAAGCGAGCTCTTAACCAGCTGAGCCACTCGGCTGGCCTGGCATTTTATTTTTTGAAGTATCCAAAAGTCACTTAGAGCCAAATTTGGTAAATAAGATAATCAAGTTGAAAAATACTGATTTTAGACAAAATAATGTATGATTGTAAAATTTTAGTCTGATTTTCTTTTTGGTTTATAAACCATTTCTGAAATCATTTCCTAAAAGAGAATTCCAAAATTGTTTCCAACAATCATGGAATTTACTGGACTTGTCCCCTACAAAGACTCCTTTGAAAGAAAATACTTATTTGAATATGCACATTCTAATGTGTTCAGTTCTTTCCATTACTTTGTAAAATATTTTCTATTCTATAGAGATAATTACTCAACTAAGCTAGTGGAACTTTCTTATACCTTCAAAGTCTTCATAATTGTGGGCCCAGAATCATTTTCTTTATAGCTTTTGATTTTTTGAATTAGTTGTTGGCTTTGTGTTCAACACTCCATATTTCATTAATCCAGTATTGCTAAAATCTTACAGTAAACATATTTCTCAAAAGCACTTCTCACTCATCATTCTTAATGTTAATAGTTTACTAGATAAAAGGTCTAGGCACAGGAAAAGATTAATGAAATCATTCTAACTTTAAAGTTTAAAAACTTAAAAATGTTGGGCTATGATTTCATGCACTAAAAACAGATAATAGAGGTTTTAAAAATTACAACTAATTTTTTGTTAAAAAGATTAGCGTTTCATATGTAATATACACTTAAAATCATCTTTATTTTAAAATGAAAATATTTAGAAGATTGAATGACTAATACATATCCGATCAAACTTTTTAGGATTTTTCTCCTCCTCTATCCCAAATTACTTTGTATAAAACATACAACCCTTCATACTTAGATTGTTGGGAATGCTGCTCATAGGCTACTGTCAGAAAAAAAAAACGAAAGGAACAAATGGAGACCTGGTGTAAGTGGAAATCATTTTTTTGTTTGTTTTTTCTTGGATTTCTTTTTTTTTTTTTTAAGATTTTATTATTGGGGAATCAGATAAGGGATTCCCTGTAAGGGGAACAGACAAGTTGCTGTCCTTTTGTTCTTCAGTCTAGTTGTGGAGGACGTTGCATCACTGGCCCATGTTGGTATTATCATTGTGTTCTTCCCGAGTGAGGCAGTCGCTCGCCGGCCACTGGTCAGCCGCTCACGAAAGCTCATGCCTGCTGTCGGCCAGCCCCACTGCAGCCTGTCGTGGGCGACTCACAGCAGCCCAGCTCCAGGTCGAGCTGTTGTTCACCAGCTAAGCTGTAGAGGGTGCAGCATCTCTGTCCCTCATGTGGAATCTGAACCAGGGCCCTGCTGCTCAGAGCTGGCGTCGCAAGCCAACTCCTAACCAATGCACCATGCTGCCAGCCCGGAAATCATGCTTATTATGAGCCTGCTTATTTTATATCTCAGGCAAATACAGGCCATTTCCTTGGAGCTCTAAAGTTGAAAGATGAGTTGTGATTGTCTATAATGAAAATACATAGCAGATGGGAAAGGAAAGATATCCTGGATAAGTATGGAATAGCACATATTACCCACTGTGGTGTTTTTATAGCCATCAGTAATTGCTCCCCACTGAGAGAAGAACTTCCTTTCACCAATACTGAGATTGTTTGTGACGGGATGGCCCGCTTTTAACCATAAAGTCATGATCAGAGTACATTTTTCCGTCCTTTTGTGTCCAATTATTTAACAATTCCTCTAGCTCAGTTGTGGTGTGGAGAGCAATTGTTGTAAGTGTTCTTTCACAGTTAATAAATAATAAATAAAATCAAAGCTTGCACAAGGCTTTGATAGTGCCATTTATTGTCTTTATAATGGATACTGAAGTTTGGGGGGCAGAAAAGCTGTCTATTCAGTCTCAGAATATTTTGCCATCTGCAATGATTTATGATCGAACCCGTCAATTCCTTCAGTCCTGAGAGAGTCTGTGCTCAACCCTTTGGAGTTCCACAGTCCAAGTTTTATAGTTTTGACTCGTCAAAGTCATTTGTGACAGTAGGCATTGTTTGTTGCTACTGTTTTATTTTAAATTTAGTTTTTGGCTTCTCCTTTTAAGCTGAGACAAACACACTGTGGTATGACTGGATGAGGCCTTCTCACGCAGAGCTTCACTCTGACTACATGCAGCGTCTGACCGAGGCCAAAGCCAGGAGCAAGAACAAGGTTCGGGCTGTCCAGCAGCTGGTGCAGCACCTCCGGCTGATCAAATCTCCTGCTGAAATTGAACGCATGCAGATTGCTGGGAAGCTGACGTCACAGGTATCGTTCCTACTGGCAAAGCTCTGAGCTCTTCGGGCTCAGCGGGCAGCCTGAGGCTGTGGACCCAACGCAGTCATCTCACGGCAGATGAGCGTTAGCTTCTCCTTCGACATTTAGTGAACATGTCTGGAGACTTTCTCAGTACCTTGCAAGGCCAAGTAAATCTGCCTCCTTTTTACCTATGATCTTAGTGGTTTCTCCTTGGACCCACATAATTTTATTTCCTTTCCCTACTATAACTGCCATAGTGGCAGTTAAATAGAGTTTAATGGTTAAAGGAGACCCAAAGTGACGGTGCTTACAAATCTACAGTTATTACAGGAAAGGGGTACAGTGTAGCAACAGCATCAGGGGAAGAATACCTTTCTCAGCTAATGGCCGTCTCCCAGCAAGGGCTCAGAGAAGCGAGGCGCAGGCTCCTGTGGCCCTCCCTCAGTAAGAGTTGGACAGGAAGCATTTTCCATTTGTGGATCAGGAACCACAGGTGCATGCACGGAACCGGGGAACCCAAAATGGAACCTCGGCTAGGGATTTTTGGTTTTGGTCATGGGCATATCCCTGCTATGTGACAACAAAGCCCTTCAGAGTTCTCATGGAGACCAAGTACAAACCATAACCTCACTGACAGTACTGACAAGCCGATGCAAACTGCTCTGAAACTCCTCTCAACACTTGTAATCAGTGTGTTTCAGGCCTTGACCAGGATCAGTTCTGTGTAGGAACTAAAACAGCTCAAGCTCATTCCAGGCCTCCTAGAATTAATCTCATCGCATCATAGCAAACAAACATTTGAAGGTGACTTTTCTGTGCTCTACCTATAGTCTTCCCCAAGTTAAGCCTTGTTTTCCTTAGCTGTTCCCTCTTGTGTTCCATTTTTCCTGTTTTGGTGACCTTCCTCAGTATGTGCTCTAGTTCTTCAGTGTCCTCCTCAAGTAGAGAGTCCAGTGTTCTAGCCATGGCCAGACCAGCAAAGATTAACTACAAATGTGATAAGCATATGTCCTTGTCTTCATTCTAATCACTGATTTTTAAAATAAGGAAGAGAAGAAGCTAAGACTAGATCATGGGATAATGTTCAGGGCTCCAGAGAAGTGGGTATCAATCAGCGATCAGATGTTTTGGATAAGGTGTAAAATTGGTTATAAATCGACCTGGGAGTATTCTGATCTGTGCTCCTGTCACTTGTCCACACTGTTATCCTGAGAGATGATTTTAAATGTCGTGCTAAAATTGAGAAGTACTAAGTCTGTGGTATTTACCTACCAACCCAGTAAAATGGAGTTTGGCCTTGTTTGTCTTAATAAACAACTTCTACCTACCTGTGATCATATTCCTTAAATGTTCGCAATTCTGGTCTAGAATGCTTATGTTAGATTTTTGGATTCGGGGCAAAATATTTTCCTTAAGAATGATTATGCTGTATTTGTGTTGTTCATCCCAAACGAAAGTTTCCCTTCTTTTGGAGGCAGGCCACATATAATTTGTGCCTGTGTGATACTGATCAATTGGATTTTTTGCACTCTGATTTGGTATAAAGTAAGTAAAGGACCTTGATGCTAGAGTTTAGTAACCTTTACAGAGAGGAGTCAGTAGACTATATGGCAGAAGTAAAAGTGGGTGGGAGTCAGACCTTGTCCAGGTCAGATCTCTCCTGTGGCTGAACGTATGTCCTGCCTCCTGGACATTTCTACCTGAATTTCCTGTGATTATCTGCACGTGCACTCTACCAGCTCTACCAGACCTGACTCCTCCTGTATTCTTTTTATTATTATTATTGGGGAATTGGGGGAGGGGAACAGCATTGGGAAAGGGGAACAGACAAGTTGCAGTCCTTTTGTTCTCCAGTCTAGTTGTGGAGGACATTGCTTCACTGGCCCATGTTGGTATTATCATTGCGCTCTTCCCAGATGAGGCAGATTGGTCGCCGGCCCCTGGACGGCAGCTCTTGGCAGCTCACGCTGGCTGCCGGCCACCAGCCACTCACGGTAGCTTTATGGCAGCCCACTGCAGCTTCACTGCAGCCTACGCTGTCGCTGGCAACTCAAGGCAGCCCAGCTCCAGGTTGAGCTGTTGTTCAGCATCTTAGCTGTAGAGGGCACAACGTCACTGGCACTAATGTGGGATCCGAACCAGGGCCCTGCTGCTCAGAGCTGGTGTCCCTAGCCAGCTCTTAACCAATGCACCACTTGGCCGGCTCCTCCTGTATTCTTTTTCATGGTTAATAATAGCAACATCTACTCACTACCTTAGATAGAAATGTGAAAGTTATCTAGATCATTGCTCTCCCTAACTCTTATACCCAATTACCTAGTCCCTAAGTCCACTCCTAGAGAGGCAGAACAGCGTAGTGGAAAACAGACAGGCCTGTGTCTAAATACCAAGCTGCCATTTCGGCCTGTGCCTAGCACACTAAGACACCTGGTGTTCCTTTGCTGTCTCTTTGCTTCCATTATTGCCGAGTCTAACTCTCCCCTAGCCAGAGTGATCTTCAAATAAATCTGACTGTCCCTCTCCTACTAAGTTTTTTGGTGACTCCTTGTTTTTAGAATTAAATTTCAACATGCTTCCTCAAGGCTTTTCATGATCCGGCCCCTTCTGCCTACCCGTCCAGCTTCATCTCATTCTTCCACATGTGCTTGACACTCCAGCTGCACTGAACTCTTTGAGATGGGCCAGTTTCGTGGCATGCCTCTGCCTGCTGTGCCCCTCCTCTCCTTTCCAAATGGCACGCTCTCAAATGTCAGTCTCCCTACTCTCACATCACCCACCTGTGGACATATACACAAAAACCCTTTACGAAATCGTTCCTGCTTTTTGTCTCCACTCTGCTTTCTCCATGGCTGTACAGTGTCCATTTATGATGTGTTCTGATTCTGAGATGCACAGAGTGAATGCAAAGAAAACCCACGTTATACGTTTAAAGATTCAAAATAACCAACATTTAAATAGCACCTGGTGGAGTAAGAGTTTCAAGTATTAATTGAGAGTAAGGGCTACACTGACAAGACAACCCTAATAAGAAGTGGCAGCGTAAAGTCTGCCCCATGATCTTTATAGGAAGGACCCCACGCACATAAGGACAGGTAGCACTTAAACCGTGTACCATGTATACCTGGAACCATCTGTAACGAAATGGATTCATAGAAGACACATTCATCGGAAAAAAAATAAAGCAAGATCAGGCATTTGACCACCTAGGAAGCAAGAGGGACTTTTCTGTTCTGTTTAGTCTGTCTAGCAGTGTAAAGGGGCCATGACTGCAAAAATTCTCTGTGCTAGTCAGTGAAGGTTTGACAGGAAATTAGTAAGAAGAAGAAATCCCTCTTTTAAGTGAATGAGTCTCACTTGGAACTACCACACTTCTTTTTTGTTTTAGCTTCACACTAAAAATATAGTGCTAACTAGCTTTTTTAATCAACATTTGTGTGTGTGTGTGTGTATATATATATATATATATATATATATATATATATATATCCTTTAGTTTGAATTGTTAATTCATTCAACAAATATTTATTGATTTACTGTGTGCCCACTATGGTGCCAGGCACATTCTAAGGATACAGTGGTGAGCAAAACACCATCGCCGTGTCCCTGTCCTCAGACTACATTCTAGCTGACGTGAGAGTAAGCAAACCTGTGCTACATTGGCAGCTGGAATTAAATGCTGTGAAGAAAAATGAAGCCATGGAAGGAGAGGGAGTGCGATGGAAAGTGCTAGTTTAGATAGGGTGGTCAGGAACGGCCTCTCTAAAGACAAAACATTTGGGGAAAGATCAGAATGAGAAAAGGGAGCAAGCCATGCATCCCACTTGCTTTTCCTCTGTTGGGCTTTATGGTTATGGCCTTACCTGTATATTGACAAGTGTTATTAAAAATTCCTTTGCACATTGTATTCATTCTTAAAATTAACAACTCGAGAGAAATTCCTTGCTAGTTGCAGTATATAGTGAGTTCCCCATGCAACTGATTTGTTTTTAGCCCACAGACACTGCAAATTATATATCTGATAGAGTTTCCCTTTTCTCTCATATTGGCTGCTAGAAAACTCAGAGAGAAATTTATGGCCCATCCACAGTAGTCATGGTAATCATGAAGGTCATTATGGTGTATATTATTATTTTGGGGGGTCTCCCTCAAGCCTTGCTTTTCTTTGTTTCTACCATGAATTGTATGCTATCTTGTTGTATTTTATGTATCCATGTGAACTAATCAAAATCCTTTTTGGAACAAGGTACAGTGGTGGTGAGTTATAAGCATGTACGAGTATGTTTATAAAAATAGAAAACACACATATCATGTGGCTATCACAGAAAATTAATTAAAATACTTGTACTGTAGGTTAGTGGTTATCAACTAGGGGCAGTTTTGTCCCCCAGGGGACATTTGACAGTTTCTGATTATCACAGTTGGGGAATGCTACTGGCATCCTGATTGAACAGGATGGCCTCCACAACAGAGAATTATCTAACCCAAAATGTCAGTAGTCCTAAGGTTAGGAAACCCTACTATGGATGGGACCATTCAATTCATAATGTCGTACATTCCAAGGCAATGGAAGCATGTGTTTCCATGTAGCTTATTCCAACATACACTGTTTCTTCAGACTGAGAAAGCTGGGTGTCCTTTACTAAATCTGTCATCAGTCAATCTGATATTCCAGTCACCAATTGAATATTTCAGTCATCAGTATTCCTGAAAGCAGTATTTTTGCCTTTGGAAATCTGTATTATCATGCCCACAAATTTACAACTTCAGGTCAACAAAATGGGAGAAAGGGTGCTTTTCCTTTGAGTTCCAGTATCTTGAATGTTTGAGTAAGCAACACTGTTAAAATAAAACTGTTCTTTTCATCCTCCATTCTCGTTGCAGGCTTTCATAGAGACCATGTTTGCCAGTAAAGCCCCCGTGGAAGAAAGTTTTCTTTATGCTAAGGTGAGCCTTAAATACCTGGAAAGCTCTTGTTGGAGGCAAGTGTAAAGTCATTTCATTGATTGCGATGGCATCCAGTTGGCATCCATGGAAGTGACCAGGATATGAATGAAGAGGATTTGGTTTTTAAATGTCACTGGTAATTTATTAGATTATTCTAAAATACACAGAGCTACAATAAAATGAAGAAATTCCAGAGTTAGAACAGACGAAGAAGGAAAGGCTTACGCAAATGTGAGATGAGAAGAATAATAATCATTTAAATAAATGTAAAGGAAGAGAAACTGAGGTAGTACTGTAGATAATAGCAGATACCCGCCCACCTCCAGCTCCATCCTAGGACATGGTGAAATTAGTAGAATTCACTATTTGCCTTGAATAATTCCAGAGCATGTAGGTTGGTAGCTATTTGAAAGGTTGGTATTACTCATTTAGAGCTGTTGTTAAAAATGTAAGCCGTATTCTGGTGTTTATCTAAATAAGACTAAACAAACAGTAACTTTACCTGACTATCTCGTTACTCAGACTTGATCATAGGTTTTCTATGTCCTCTTCTGGACTTAACAACTTGAAAATCATAGGGAATTTAGAGAACTCAGAAGAAAAGAACAGATTTAATAATAAGGTTGAATAATAGGATTGAGATGAGAATAAAAGAAGTGGCCTGACATTACAGCATAAAAAGTTTGGTTAGATTACAGTAAAACCTTGGATTGCGAGTAATGTGGTTTGCAAGTGTTCCACAAGATGAGCAAACATTTCTAATATATTTTAATGTGGTAAATGAGCGATGTCTTGCAATACGAGTGGTTTGTTTCTGGAACGAATTATGCTCACAAACCAAGGTATTACTGTATAACGAATAGTTCTCTGGTAATGACTTATGATACATACTTAAATGGAAGTATGGGCTGTTGAAGAGAACCTGGGCTGGGCCACCCCTTTCTTCAGTCATATTTTGGTCAGACTTTGCTTTGTTTTTTAGTTTGAATTTGAATGCCGGGCCCGTGGAGCAGACATCTTAGCCTACCCACCTGTGGTCGCTGGAGGTAATCGGTCAAACACTTTGCACTATGTGAAGAATAATCAACTCATCAAGGTACACAAAATGCTCTTCAGTGCTGCCCTCTCTGGGTCTGGGTGCCTTAGTAGAAAACCCACTCATCTCATGATCCCCTAACCTTCAGCCTTCACAAAATAACTGCCATTTATAAAGTACTTTATGGTTTATAAAATGCTTTTACAGACCTTATCTCATTTGATCCTCAAATTAGTACTGTGAGATAGGGACAATTACTAACATGCCTGTTTAATAGGTAAGGAAAATAAACTTTAAAAAATTAGCCCACTTGCTAGTGCAGAGCCAAGTATTCTACTCTAAAGCCTCTGCTTGTTTTATTTTGTAGCACTCCTCCTCAAAGGCCTTGTAGCTACAGTGGACCAAGCATATGGGAGGGGGCAGATTTTAAAAATACTCTATTAGCTGGGAGAGCACTTATCTTTTATAGCTCTCTCCCCCAGAGAATTGTCTATTCCTTTATTAAGTCCATCTTTTATTATCTATTTTAATATTCAGTAAATTCAAAAGAATAAATATAGCAAACATGTAACATGTAAATGATATAGCATAATTTTTTTTAATGAACATCCACGAACCAGCCACTCAACTCAAGAGCTAGAACGTTACCTTGTATTGTATTATATACCTTGTAGCACCTTGTATCTATCTATTTGTGTATCCTTATGCTCTGCCACCCGGCTGCCTCCCTCCCACAGGTAACTAACTGCATTCTAAATTTTTTTGTTTGTCATTCCCTTGATTGTTTTTTAAATACTTGTATCACATATACATGATTCCCCAAACAACATTCTTTTTTTTTAATTCATAACTATAAGATAATACCAGTTGTTTTCTAACAGGAAATTTATTCTATCGTTTTGCCAGAAACAAAAAAAACCACATCTATTGATCAAAGTTGCCATTACTACATATAAACTTATTTAACCCTTATTCTACTATGTGCAAAGTTCTGTGCTTATTTAGATATGAATAAGATGCCCTATCTCCAAGGGCATAAATAGATAATTACATTATAACATGACAAGTAGTAAGACTGAGATATACCCAAAGTTTTCTTTTTTCCACACATATATTTTGATGAGGCGCAGAAGGGGAAGTGATATTCTAAAGTTAAATGCTTATAGGTAATTGTATTTGAATAAGGCCCTAGATACCAGCTTATATAGGCTTTTGTTAATAGTGATAATGGTAACATTTATAATGTGCTGATGTTTACACCTAGTAAATTCAAATCCAAGCAGTCTGGTTCCAGAGCCTATGCACCTAACCACTATGCAATGGCATCATTCTTGAGCCACTGTAAATTCAATTGAAAATTTTAGATGCTATTTCTTGTGAGGAGGAACCAGAGAAGATTAGTCTCCTTTAAATTAGAAGGGAAAAAAATACACACACACACACACACACACACACACACACACACACACACATACATATCTATGTATAAATAAAATGAATGGCACAAATGGTTTAAAAGAAACAACTGACAATCATGAGGTCACCTACTTTGCCCTATCTTGCTTTTGTTCCAGGATGGGGAAATGGTGCTGTTAGATGGAGGTTGTGAGTCTTCTTGCTATGTGAGTGACATCACCCGTACGTGGCCTGTCAATGGCAGGTAAGGCTTATACAAATCTCACTACTTCTTAGGAAGATAGATATATTTAGAATAAATGACTAAAGAAATATCCAGGTCCCCTCTAGCTCAGGTTAACTGCCTTTGCAAAGGTCCTGATTATTTTCTAAGACTATTTTGTTTATTATATCACAGGATCAGTCACCTAGAAACACTTAGTTAACACACACACACACACACACACAAACACACACACACATACACATACACACATACACACTTAAAAAAATAAATTTGAAGTTTTTATTTTCTGATTACAAAAGTAATATTTAGGTTATGGTAGAATAGTTTGGCTGGATTAACCCTCCACATATAATAATAATCACATCTGGACAAAATATTAAAAACAAGTATTTGAAGGAATCAAAGAGCTTTCAAAAACTGGCAGACACTGCATAAAAAGTCTCCTTGACAGAAGAACTGTAATGGGTAAGATGAGTGGTTGGGGCTTTTGCCTGAAGGCATTCCCCAGTCCACACAGCTTGGGCAGCAGAAAACTACAGCTTTTTTGGTTTGAGGTATCAGAGGACACACTTAGGTGCTGGCAGAACAGCCAGAAAGATGAGGGAAAATCCTGGAAGAGTAGTTGCTGCAGAGAGGGTGAGCCCCAAAATCTGCATATAAAATAGTCCCAAATCCTTGTCTGATCACTAAATTATGTGTTTGGGGGAAACCCCCTTAAGGCTCAGAAAAATACCAGCAACTAGAAGTTGAAAAGACTGAGCAGGGGTTTTAGTTGCTTCTCAGTGAGAGCAGTTTGCAGTTTGAATCCAGCCAAGTTAACAAAAGCATGCTTCAAAAGAACTTAATAGCATTCTAGAATCTCTACATTGTGTCATTCATAATTTCCAATATTCAGTTTTTAAAATATCAGTAGACATGAGAAGAATCAGGAAAATGTGACCCATGATAAAGAAAACATAGTCAATAAAAACAGATGCTAAAGGACCCTAATGTTCCAATTAGCAGACAAGGACGTTAAGGCAGCCACAGTAGATGTGCTCAAGGAGGTGAAGCTATCAGCATAATGAGTGAACAAAGGAGAATCTTAGTAAGGAATAAAAAACTACAAAAAGAATCAGGAATTCTGGGAAGATGGCAGCAAGCAAAAATTGTTTTTTAATTTGTCTAATTTAATTTGTCTAAATAGTCTAATAAACATAGAGCAGCTAGTTAGCAAAAGCAAATAGCTTTTGATAGGGTGCCCTAAAACCTCAAAATACAGTTAGGGACGCACGGCACTGTTAGCTGGGTGGTAACAGTATCTGTGGAAGGAAGAAGGAGGAAGCAGCAATGGTGGGGAGACCTGAGAACAGGAGAACCCCAAAGTAACCAACAGTTATTCACTGGGATGGGTGATGAGCCAATTTGAGAATAGAAGCTGAAAACGGGAAGCATTTGCCTCTCCAATGACTCAGGAAAATTGGAAGATTCTGGGCTCCCTTTTAGGACTGAAGAGAGACAGCTAGAAATAGAATTAAAACTGAGCAGGTTAGGGACAAGCAAGAGGAAGGAATTAGATGATCCAAATCAAAGTGTGGGAGAGGAACTGAACCAAGCAAGATCAGAAAGCAAGCTGCCATTTTTCCCCACTACACCAAAACAGCAAAGGCGTGCACTTGATGAAGTTAGAAAAATCTTTCTCAATCCTGCCTCATTCTAAAAGTCTAAGTCATTCTCTGGATCCAGCTGCCAATTTGTATGAAATTAGAAAGACAGATGAATATGTTGAACTGCACTAAGGGTATGTGTATTCATCAGCTCCAGCTGCCTTAACAATTTATCACAGACTGGGTGGCCTAAACAACAGAATTTCCTTTCTCACTGTTACGGAGGCTGGGAAGTCCAAGATCAAGGTGCTGGCAAAATATGTTTCATCCTGAGACCTCTTTTCTTGGCTTATAAACAGCCACCATCTCTTTGTGCTCACCTGACCTCTTTTTGGTGTCCACATGTGGAATGAGAGAGAAGAGGGGGTGAGGAAGGAAAAGAGGGAGAGGGAGAGAGAGAGAAAGCAAGCTCTCTGGTGTTTCTTCTGTTAAGGACACTAATCTTATCAGATCAAGGCCCTACCCTTATGACCTCATGTAACCTTAGTTACTTCCTTGGAGGATCCATCTCCAAATACAGCCACACTGAGGATTAGGGCTTCAACATCTGGATTTTGGGGGCAACACAAACATCCCTGCCACAAATGCCATTAGCAAAATCCGGAGTGTAATAAACTCTATGTCAAACACCCTGGATTCTTCAACAGGTAAATTATAAGGAAATGAAAAGGATGGAGGAGGAACCTGTTGACTAAAAGAGACTTAAAGGCATATAAAATTTATTTAAAATAAGCAGGAAAAAAATTGGCTTGGGAAGCATATTTGGGTGATAAAATGTTTTTTAAAAGATAAGGAATGGGGAGTGACTGCTAATGGATACGGGCATTTTGGGGAGAGGGTGATGAAAATGTTCTGCAATTAGACAATGATGATGGTTGCTCAACTTTGTTAATATGCTAAAACCCACGGAACTATATGCTTTTTAAAATGGGTGAATTTTATGACACACAAATTGTATGTCAATAAAAATGATAAATATATACATGCAAATTTTTAAAACCAAAGGAATTGATAGCTGTAAAAGTTAAGATAATGTTATGTACTGTGGGAACTGTAATTGTTTGAGACACATAGAAGAGGCTCCTGTGAGAGTTGGCCAAGTTCAATTTTTTTTCTGGCCGGTGTTCACCTTATAATAATTTCTTAAGGTAAATATGTTAAGTTTGTTGGGCTTTCCATACCTGTGTTTTGTTTTACATTTAAAGTTAGATTTAAAAAATGGAAATCCTAAAGCTGAAAAGTACAATAACTGAAATGGAAAATTCACTAGATGCATTTAACACCAGATTGGAGGTAGCAGAAGTTAGTACTTTAAGAGTGATAGGAATTATCCAGTATGAAGAACGGAAATAATATTTTAGAAAAATGAACAAAACCTCAGAGACCTTTGAGATGTTTTCTTCTTTTTTTTTTTTTCAGTTTTATTGGGGAACAGCCATGGTCATTGGTTACACATTGCTTTCACGCGACAATGGCATAGTTGACTCTTTTAGGGAGGGCACAGCTCACAGTAGCCCATGTGGAGCTCGAACCAGCAACCTTGGTGTTATCAATACCACACTCTAACCAACTGAGCTAACTGGTCACCCCTCTGAAACATTTTCAAGCAGCCTAACATATATCTAATTGGAGCCCCAGAAGTTGATTGTATTGACATTTGTAGAGCATCACACCCACCAACTACAAAATTCACATTCTTTTCAAATACACATGGAACATTCACTAAGATAGGCCATTTACTGGGCTGTAAAACAAGTCTCAATTTCAAAAGACTGAAGTGTTAACAGAGGATGTTCTCTGACTACAATGGAATTAAATTAGAATATCATAGCAGTAAGATATATTTTTAAATCTCCAGATATTTGGAAATTAGTGACTACATTCTAAATAACCCATGGGCCAAGAAAGAAACCACAAGGGGAAGGGAAGAAACCACAAAGTATTTCAAATTGAGTGATAATGAAAATACTACATATTAAAATGTGTGGGGTACAGCAAGGTGGAAATGTATAGATTTAAATACTTTTATTAGAAAGGAAGAAAGGTTTAAAAACAATAGTAGCTTCCACCTTAGAAAGCTATTAAAAACATGAACAAATTAAACCCAGAGTCAGTATATGGAAGGAAATAATGAAGACTAAAATATCAGTGAAATAGAACAAAAAGACAAACTAGAGAGAATCAACAAAGCCAAATGGTTATTTCCTAAATAGATTAATCAAATTGATAAACTCCCTAGTATGAGAAAACACAAATTATCGTAATCAGGAATAAAAGGGGGAGATAATAAATCCTATAGATAGATATCAAAAAGATAATATTATGAACAACTATATGTATTCATCATAGTCCGTCACTGAGGAAGTTAATCCACCACACATCCACTAGAATGGCTAAAATTAAAAAGACCAACCATACCAAGTATTGGCAACGATGCAGCACAACCAGAACTCACACACATTGCTCTTGGTAATGGAAAGTGCCATAGTCACTTTGGGGAAAAATTTGGCAGTTTCTTATAAAGTTAAATAAGCAAACACTGATTCTTTGACCTAACAAGTTCACTTCCAGGTATTGAGCTAAGAGAAATGAAAACATATGCCCACAAAAAGACTTGTACAAGAATGTTCCTACTGGGCTGACCGAGTAGCCTGTTGGTTAGGAGTTGGCTTGGGACACCAACTCTG